CGGGCTTGCAGGAGGGGCGGGCGACGGGGTGTCCTGGGGGCGGGGGAGGCCAGCTCAGGACGGGGCATGGGACTCTTGGGAAGGTTTCATGGGCCCACGCTCCTCCCCGGGGCTTTGCCTCTGGTCCCAACAGTTGCGGGCGGTGGGGGGGAGACGTTTCTCGGCAAATTGCTGAGGCGGCTCGGCCAAGCCCTGCATGGCGCTGCGCTCACCCAGCTCGGCGTGGCCTGTTTCCATGGGCTGGCTGGCTGGCGGTGCCCCAACACTCGTCCCCCGCACCAGAGCCTGAGCGGACATTGAGGAAAAGGCGCGGCGCTTTCCAGGGGTAGTGGAGTTGTGTAGTGTTGGTTGAAAATGGAAGCTCTGTGTGCAACTCGGCAAACATTACTTGGAAAGCTAGAGAAACGTGAGCAACGTCAGGCAGCAGATCAGCTGTGTAGCAGTAGGGATTAATAGCTGTATCTTAATTCCAAAGTTCTTTAAACCACCAGCTCTTCTGCATCTTGTCCTTTTTTATCACCTCTAACATGATCCATAAAGCCACGCGTAAAGCATTTTTAGGGTTATTTAGTCAAATGTTGATTCTGCAGGGATATTATCTTGTTCTGCCCCAAGCACAGAGCCTTGCGTTCTGTTCCTTTTGTGCCGTTGGACAACTCCTGATCCTTCCAGGTAGCTGATTACCTTGTTTGTTTCATTCTTGAAGCAAGAGGTTCCCAGTCCCCGTCAAAGCCTAGTGTGGCTCTGTTTCATTACATCAAGTGGAACTGACCATACCAGGATGAGCTACTTTTGCTGCTGATAAGTTGTCAGGGAGTTTTAGCAGTTAATCATTTCCAGTCAATGTAATGAGGCCCAAGCCTCTGTCATGGCCAACAAAGTTGTCTGGAAATGTCAGAGCTTTATGGCAGGAATATTAATACAGGGAACAAGGAGACTGGAAATTTCTGTAGTGTAAACCAGCGGTTCCCAGTCTGTGGTACGGGTACCATCCATGGTACACATTAGCAGATTTATTATAATTATATGACAAGAATTTGCTGGCAGTACTAAAGGTTGTATCATTTTAATTTGGTGGTGTACAATCTGCCAGAGTTTGGGAACCATTGATGTAAAACATTTTGAGAGAATTTGAACAGGTTTTCCTTTGCATTGTTGAGTTTTGTTCATCCTTTCTCTCACCATAGTAATTATGTAAACTTTAAAAATGTTTAATCTTTTATAGGAAGAAGAAAAATTAATCCAGCAGGAGCTAACCAACTTGAAAGCAACAGTTTCTGCTCCCACTACAACACTTGTAAGTTTCATAAGAGGTCGTAAGAGGTTTTCTTAACTGTAGACTGAATACGAGAATGGCAGCGTGCACTGTTTGCCAGGCAGTGTGCACTTCTGAGCGTGGTCTACGCCAGAAAGATTTTGTATTATGAGCACCACTGAAAGAAACTTCTGTACTTGTTATGCAGCTGTATGTCCACGCCCAAGTTTTGGTCTGGTGTTGAACCAGTGAGAGCACCGTTGGTGTGGTTGTGCTTGTCTAGAATTGTTCTTGTTTGGAAGTTTTACTACCATTGTGCCCTGAATGTGATCATTCTACATAGGCAATCCCTGCTTAGCACTGTTTTGCTATAACACTTATTTTAAATTCATACCTGATTCCACTTAGCGCTCAGCGAGTTTCTTTGTAACGCTTGCAGGCAGGGAGCATACACCGGCACCACAGCACGTTGGTGGCACGCAACCTCTTTGTGCAATTTAGCCTGCCCGCACCCAGGCCAGGTGCAGCAGGGCTATGACTCGTGCTGTGACTCACCCTGTGGGAGCCCTGGCCGATGCGCCCTGCTCCCGCCAACTGGAGTGGTCGTGGTTGTGGCTGTTACTGTCCCCCTGCCCCTACCCCACTTCCGGGTATGGAGGGGGACCAACAGCACTGACTCTGTGGCCCCAGCAGGTGGCAGTGACACGGTGCCAGCCAAGCTGGTCTTGTGCTACCAGGTGGTCAAGTTGCTGCTGCTGGGCACCTTGGTAAATTACATTTATTTACATTAATTCCTGTGGGAAAGTGGGTTTCACTTAACACTGTTCTGCTTAAGGCTCGTTTTTTTGGGGAACCAGTTAAGCGCGCTAAGTGGGGATTGCCTGTATTGCACTTTTAGGGTATGGATTCACACATTTGAAGCTGTTTCAAAACAGGAATGTTTCAACAAGGCAGCAGCAGTTGGAGGAAAAGTAGTGTTGAAGCTGAGGTGGCTTTGCTACATTTGTATTATTCCCAGCTTGTCCCCACATAACAATTAGAACATAACAGCTGCTGCCCTTTTGAAACATCTTCAGATGTACTTTTGTTCATACCCTTAGCATAGACAGGAAAATCGGGCTTTGTATTGCAGATCAGTAAAGATGCATATTGTCATCTTGCCTTGTTCATGCTTATTTATGTCACCTCAAAGTATTGGGGGTCTCATCTGTCAGGTTGCCTGCCATTGGCTATAGAGCAGTATAGTAGCGTAGTAAATCAATTGTTACAGCTCTCAAATGCAAGTCTGTGAAGCTGCTGCACTTAAAACAGTTTTCTCTTTACAGTAGCATGCACTGCCACTGTATGTATGTTTTATCATGGGGCATTTTAGTACTGTTTCATGTTACAAAGCTATATTTAATTTGTCATTTCTTACTGCCTTTTACCTAGTGCGAACCACTACTTTGTAAAGCTTATGATGGAGGCATTATTTTATTTGGGGAGTCTAATTTTGTTTCCTGTCTGTGGTTTGTTTTCTCTTACTGTAAGCCACTTAGCCTTTTAGATGATAGGGAGGTATCTAAATCCTAAATAATAGTAATAAAATAATAATAATGGGCCTCTACTGCTTGTGGTTGCACTGACCCCTTCCCTCTCACTGATAATAAAATAAGTGATTTTAAAATATTTTGTGGTTTTGTGGGTGTGGTTGTCCCATCTTTGGACAGTTCCCTGGTATGTTTTTTAATATCCATTATGGTCATAATTAATTTGTTATTGATTGAACAGATGCTAGTTGTAATCAGATAATGTGATCTTTATGTATGTAATTTGATGGAGTTCTGCTGTAATTTAATTTTCAGTTATTGTGAAACATTAGCAGTATTAGTTCACCTTATTTTGAAAGAAGAGAGTTCAGAAAGGTTAAATTCTTATTATAGGGTAGATACTATTTTATCTGTCATGTCAAAATCTGTTACTTGAGTTCATTAGATCAGTGAAATGGAACACAACACTCACAGCTAGTCTAATATTCTTAACATTTCGTTTCTGGTATTTCAGAGACTAATGAAAGAATGTATGGTGAGACTCATTTATTGTGAAATGCTGGGATACGAGTCCTCCTTTGGCTATATTCATGCTATCAAGTTAGCTCAGCAAGGAAACCTGCTAGAAAAAAGAGTTGGTATGTATATACCATATCTGTTATGTCTTAATACTTTTCTCAAATCATTACAAATATCCCTATGAGTAGAGTGAAAATCATGATAAATACTGGAACTGACTAAACGTTTTCTCCCAGTTTTTAAAATTTTCCCTTATTGAAAGACAAACCCAGATTTTAAAACTGAAAAGACAAATTTATTTGAACTTTATGCTAATTGCAGGGGGGGATGTAATGAATTTTTTTCTGCTTTTTAATTCTTTTTTCTTTAGTAAACACTAGGTATACACAAGTATTTTCATTTAGAAGAGATTTTAGAGGCATTAGCTTGAAAATTAATTTCAGTCTGGAAACATTGATTCCAGTTTCCATAAATAACCGAGTGTAACTGGAAGATCAAATGTAAAATTATTCATTCATTATTATTCATTATTCAGCCAGAGGACTTCCAAAAGCTGAATGTTGTTCTTCTAACATTTAACTGTATTAATAGTTTCGTAGGATTGTACTGAAAGGTGAACAGATCTTTATAAAGTGGCCATCTTCTCTCCTGCCTTTCTACTCGCAGGTCTCCTATATTAAGGCTGGCTTGTAACAAAAGTGATGATGAGACAGCAAATGACTAGAGCACAAGCGCAGAAGTGTGTGAAGGAACCTGATAGTCTCATAAAGACTTCCCCTCTTGCATCTGTGAAATCTTTTTATCAGCTGGTTTGTTTCCAGGAGTTAATTGTCTCACTAGTCTGAAGTATTTCCATTTGGTGGCTAATTCAAATATGTAAATATGGGCCAGATGCAGATGTTCTTTTGGTAGAAAGCAAATGTACAAACATTTAGGCTTTTTCTTCTGGAGTGAAAATGGCTGCTCTGGGAGCAAAATAACCTGAGGACAGCTAGGGATAAATCACTCCTACAAGAATTTCTCCTGGGAGACAACATGTCTATACACTTTCCCCTGGCTTAACTCCTCATGGGGACCAAGAGCAGTGGTGCTGGGGAAGAGGGTCCCTGCCTTCCAGAGACAACAGGTCACCCCGGTGTTGAAAAGGTGTGTGGAGCAGTTGCTTCTCCCTGTCCCATAGATGGGGAGATGAGGGAAGCAGCAGCTATGTTTCCTTGTTTCCCAAGTTGGGCAGTTTTGAGAAGAGGTAGGGAGTGTCACTGGCACCTTTGCAACTTCCCCTTGGTGTCTCTGCTGAACATCTGAACTGCAGGATGGCAATTTAAAAGACAGTGGCCAGGAATGGGGCTCTGGGAAAGTCTCCCCAACCCAACTGCCAGCTCCTGCTGGCTTCCTTTTGCTGCCCAGCTGAGCCATAGGGTGGTAGCTGGGAGCAGGACTTGGAGGTCTCTTTGTACTCCTCTGGCTGAGCCTCAAGAGGTGTCCTTGAAGGGTAGAGTCCAGCACAGAGGTGCTCAGTTTGGTACTGGAAAGAATTTGTAACACCTCTCTTGTGGAAAGCAGGCTGCTATCTCTTTCAGCCTTTGATCAAGATTTTATGGGTGTCAAGAAAGTGTGGCTTATGGGTCTCAAGAAAATTTGGCTATCTATCAACCAGGCTTTCCCTTTTAAGTGATGCTGTTGAGGGTGTGGTGAGACAGTTGTGAGGTGGAATGTCAGTGCTTCAGATCTTTGACACAAAAATAGTACTTATCACTCTTGTTGAGGGTCTTACAGTAATGGGGAATGTCTGTGCTGATGTTATTAGAATGATCAGTTGTCTTTGCTGCTTACCCTGCATGTGTACCTAGTGGGCAGTTGCTGTGTTCTTGTATCTCCATTATTTCCTGGGTTTGAATGCTAAAAGTGTTATTTTAGGGAATTGTTCATTTGTTTCAGGAATGCTCTGTATATTCCTTCAATCTTGTCTTTATGTATCTGGGGCTTTTAGGAGGAATAGCTTGGAGGTGTGGGCTCTGATGCCTTCAAAATGTTGGTGAACCCACTTTCATCTTCTCTCTGTTGATCCTGCCAGTGCAGCTTAGTGTTTTACCCAGTGTGAGGCAGTTAGGGCACGAATGACAGCAAGTTGATTGAGACTAAATCTAGATGAGACAAAGGCAACAGTGGTAGGATAAGGAACCTCTAGAGTGGAAGGTAATAATATCAGCTTCCATGACTAGGAGTCAATTTCATTTCACTTTGTAAGTTTGCCTTTGGGAGTCTAGTTAAAACAGCTGCTCTTTGATAATAAAGTAACACTTATTATCATGACACACACTTTTTAAAAATGTGCAGCTGGCCAGAAATCTGTGCTCTCTGCCAATATGTGTTTATAGTTTTTTTTTCTGATCAGCCTGCTGCAATGTACTCATGGACTACACGTAAAATTTATTTAGACATTGAAGGTAATTCAGAATGCTTGTTCAGTGCTGAGTCCAGTGGTCTGAAGCATTCAGTACCTGCCTTTTGATGCCCAGACAGAATCCCAGTTGCTGCGTTTGATCTCTGAGTCCTAAACTGGCATGAACCTTACCTCTGTGGGATCCAGCTCCTTCCCAGTGTGATAGTACCACCATTGTAATCTTTACAGAAGTGTTTCTGTGTAGAAGGAAAGGGGCTGCTGGCAGATTCTCTTCTGCCAGGATCTTGGATTGTGGAATCTGATGTCCTCTTTATTTCCAAATGTTCAGGAGTTTTCACTGCTACTGTAGTTTGTGAAAAAGCAAGT